ACAAAATAAAGTCCCCAACAATTTTTGCTGTCCCTTTTTGTCATTTGCCCTATGGCCTTCTTTCTCTCTTTATGCTTTTGAGACAACTTTTCAATTTAAAGTTAATTTTAAATGTTGCTTAAATGCAACTTATCCTAATCAGGAGAAAACGCGGCCGCAGGCTTTTCCAACGCTGCTACTCTTTAAAGCCCCAACATTTTCCACATTTTCTTTGTAGTTGAGTTTTTGCCAATTAGGAGCAAGGCACATTTTTTGTTGTTTTTATTTTTTTATTTTTATATATTTTTATTTCGCAGGTGCTGAGAAAATGGCACACAGCCACTTGACTTGCCCAAGCCCAGGCTTCTTTCTGCCAGCTTCTTCTGTCCGTTGTATTATTATCCTTGTTATTATTATTATTATTGTTGTTGTTGTTGTTGCTGTACCCACTGAGCCACTCACTAATTATGCAAAAGGGGGAGGGGAGGCAGGTGGAGGTGTATATAAGAATTTCTGTTGCATCTGGCCAAACTAAAATTCAGGCAAAAAAAAAAAAAAAAAGTAGAACGCGAGCAACGTCAGGAAAAAAAAGAATAGAGGAAACCGAAGGCAGTGGAAAATCCTGAGAATTCTTCTTTGCTTTTTTCGCACTTAACTGTCAACCACGCACACACATGTGTGTGTGAGTGTGTGAGTGTGTGTGTGTGTGTGTGTGTGTGCTAATTTAGGCATCTTTTGTTGTGTGACAGCGAGCGAAAGAGATGGAAACGGGGGTATTTCCCAGGAGTAAAGCCTAACAGGTTCATTAAATATCCTAGAAAAAGGAAAACTAATATTTGAGAAACTTTTTAAATTGTTTATAATTTTAATCAATTTTAAATATAAATGAATCAAATTTTAAACAATTGTACATTTTAATACATATTTATTTTAAATATTTATTTATTTAAAAAACTCTTAACATTGTAGAAAATTGTTATAAATATTTAAGTTTAGATTTTAAATATTTAAAAAACGATTTAATGAAGGGTTCAACTTTGTTTTACTTTGAATTTTACCTTTTTTGTTGTTGTAAGAGAAATATTAGTTAATAAATATTTTTAAAATTACTTGTATGTATTTTGCATATAAAAAATATTATTTTAAGTTATTTCTATAATTTTATGTAAAAAGTTTAAAATAATTTTACGTATACGCAATTTTTAGATTCTTATTATTTTAAAATGAATATAACGTATACGTAAGGTAGGTATTTTCTTATATTTTTTTAATAAAAAATGTACCTTAAATACAAGAAATATTTATATAAAAAAATACTATTTTTTTTTGCTTAATTTATTACAAAGCTTAAACAAATTTTATGTGTACGCAATGTTAAAATTTAGATTATTTTTCAATACATATAAAGTATACAAGTTAATTTTAAATATTTTCTAATATAAAATATACCAAAAATACAATAAATTTTATTATTAAAAAAATGATTTAATTTATTAATTTATTTACTATTTATATCTGAGTAATTATAAAACAATAATAACAACATTACGTATACGTAATATTTTATTTTTTAAATATACACCAAACCTGTTATATATTTTTTTATAATTTAAAATTGTAAGTACATTAAAAATACTCTATAAAATATTTTGTTAAAATTTTTGGGCACTAAAAAAAAATTTCTTTAAAAAAAAATAGAAATGTGTGTATAGAAACCGTAAAAAAAGGACAAAAAGCGTCAACAAAAAGGCTTTGTCTGCTTGCGGCTTGCCACAGCAACAGCAACAAAAACAACAACAACAAAAACAACAACAACAAAAAACCACAACAACTACAACAACAACATCTACAACTAAGTAAAATCCCACTAAGAAGAAGAAGAGTAAAAAAAAATAAAATATAAAGAAGAGTGGCTGCAATGAGCCTCGTTTTACTCCGCGGCATTTCATCCATATTCCAAGCTCATCCTCCCTCATTCACTCATTCGCTCAATTATTCAGTCAGCCCAGCGAGTCAGGCATTCACTCATTCATGCCCCATTCATTCCAGCATTCATTCATCCATTTCCATATTCATTCATTGATAACTAAGGTGAGAGGGAGAGGGGGCAAAAGGCTTTGCCAGTGGCCTGGGTTTTATTTAAAGGCGACCGCTGAGCGGCACTGTTGAAAAATATTTATTCAAATATTAAAATAAAATAAATTAATTAAAATATATATTAATATTTAAAATATTTTTTAATGGTAGGAGAATACTGGAATATTTTATAAATTATATTGTATTATCTTTTTGCTGAATTTTGGTTAATACAAAATTTTATGGAATTATTTTTTTTTTTAAATATTATTATGTATTTATTTTTATACGAATTTTGCCTAATTAATTCTTAAAAATAAATGTATATATACTAAATATATTTGTTAAGAAAATCATGAAATCATATTTTTATTTAGAACGATATTTTTGTTATAACAAAAATTGATTATATAAATTTAAAAAAATGTAAGGGAATTATTTTATTTTTAATCATTTTATAAAATTGTAAGAAATTTGGTCTTAAATTTTTTTTAATAAAAAAATGCTAAGAATATTTTTTTGGGTGCCTTAATTTTTTAATATATTTTAAAAAATTAAAAAAATAAAAAAAAATTAATTAAAAATTTAATATATATATTTTTTTTGTACTAAATAATTTTTTCTAAGGTCATTTTTAGGTTGTTTCTATAAAATAAAATCTATAAAATTACCAAAAACCTTGAAATTTTACTGTTAAAAAATATCATTTAAATATTTTTAAGCAATTAATTTCTTTGACTTAAAAATAAAACCCTTTTTGTATTTTAAAAGAATTTAAAAATCCATGCATTTGTTTTTATATTAAAAATAATATTTTAAAAGCCTTCAAAGCTCAGTTTACGCTAAATACAAACTAGTTACATTCTCTAAAAAATGATCTTAAAAATGTACAAAAAGAAACCGAATTTCCTTATAGATTTTCCTGTGCACTTTTCTGTTTTTCTTTTATTTTTTTGTTTTGTTTTTTTGGCCCTCTCCTCGAATGTCATCAGATGTGGCCGAAAAACACAAACATTTTAGTATTTTCCAACTTTTCTGTTTGGGTTTTCCTAGTTCGCTTAATGCAACGAATATCGTTTTTCCTATATTCTCTTTTTTTTGTTGTTGTTTTTAGTTTTCCACTGCACGTACATGCAATATTTGCGAATTTTTTGGGGAAAGCAGAGAACGAGGGCCAGGGCATAGGACTTGACTGTGAATTTGCCACTTTTATTGTTTTTAAAACGCTTTCCAATTCCTAGCCTCGACTTTTGTCTATTTCCTCGATTTTTCTGCTGGCCCTCTCTTCGCTGCAATTGCAATTTCAGTTTTATTTTACGCGCAATTTGTCTGCTCGGTGTGGGAGAGAAAATCGTAGGGACACTGGACGGAAAAAGCTAAAACAAAAGAAAAAAAAATATATAAAAAAAAAGAAAAACCCGAAATTGAAAACCAAATAAATAAGTGAACTTTCAATGCGGGCAAAAGTTCAGCGAGGATAGAAAATCTGCAACAAAACAGCTTCGAGCAGAAGAAGAGCTTCTTTTGGTGGTATATCCCTTGTTTATATATATATATATATATATGTATGTATCCCATCTGTATCTGTCCGATTGTTTGGCCAATATCAATGCCAATCCCAGGCAGCCATAAATCATTTGGTGCCTGTCGATGTCGAGGAAAATGGCCAAAAGCAAAGACACAGACAAAGACAAAGGCGGCTGCCTGCCTTGGAATGATTAGCGAGAGAAATTATATCTCTTCCTTTTGTTTATCCTTGATTTAGTTTTTTTTTTGTATTTTTTGGGGGTTTTTTGAACAGCAAATTTTGTGCATTTTAATGGGTAAATATTTGGAATTGAAGAATGTAAGCATAAAGTTCTTGAAAAAAGGAAAGAAAAGTACTTTAGGGTTTTGTTGAAAGTTATTTCTTTGCATTTTAAAAATATATTAATATTTTTATTTATTAACTTTTATATACAAAAATTGTATTTAATTTGTATTTATAAATTTTGATACTTAAAATTTGTAATAATATTATTTGTATAATTTTCTATAATTTTAAATTAACAATTATACATTTAAAAAATATTATTTTTACATTTATAAACCTTAGATAACAAATATATATATTTTTTATGAGGAAATTTGTGCATTTTTAATTTTAAAAATATTTTAAGATTTATTAAAAGGGAATTCTTTGCATATTAAAGATCTAATTTTTACATGAAGAAATTATATTTAATTATGATTATTATATTTTTATATTTAAAATTTTTAGAAACATTATTTTTCTAATTTTCTTTAAATTTTAAATTTTTAAAATTTTTCTTCGCATTTCAAAAATATGTTTGTTCTCAAAAAAAAAAAAACACTTTTGTATGAAAAAATTATATATTTAAAAATTATTTATAAATTTTCATTTAAAAAATTTTTAAAAATATTATTTAAAATATTTTCTTTAATTTTAAATATCAATTTTAAATTTTTAAAAATTTTCTTTGCATTTTAAAAAATATATTTGTTCTCAAAGATATAAATTTTATATTAAAAAATTCTATTTAATCTTTATTTATACATTTTAAAACTTAAAATTTTTAATAATTTTATTTTTCTAATTTTCTATAATTTTAAATTAACAATCTTGTATTTTTTAAATATTATTTTTTCAACTATAAACCTTAGAATATTCTTTTCAATATTTTTTTTTAATTAGATTGTTATAAAAATATATTTCATTGGATTTTTAACTAGAAATATATTAACTTAAAATCTATATATATTTAACATAAATTATTTAAAATTATTTCTTTAAATTTATTTATTACGAAAACAGAATTTTGAGGGAGTTTGGACTTAAATCGAATTAAATTTCACCTCAAAATTTTAAGTCCCAGTTTCAAGTCGCAAAAAATTCCAATCTAAAACCCTTTCTAAACCTTCTTTCTTTTCCCAAATTTTTCCAGGGGGCGTGACAGAGTGGGCGGGTGTATCTGCGGCTGCCGGCAAAAGTGCAATCGGAATTGGAATTGGAATTGGAATCGGAATCGGGGTGGAGAATCGAAATCGGTTGGACGATACGCAACCGATACCCGCTTCGAACAACTCAAGTGGCCAGGATAGCCGGCTAACAACAAGGACTCGTAGTAGAGGCGGAGTCCAGGATTCAAAAAGGATACCAAAAAAGAAAAACCCAAACACACACACGCCGACAATGTCCTCTACGTCGTCGCAGTCCTCCGATGGAAACGAGACTGTTGGCGAAATGTTTTCGGAAGCGGAAACGGCGGAAGTGCGGCATGTTGTTCAACGCATTTTGGTGCCGTGCGTTTTTGTTATTGGACTATTGGGAAATTCAGTGAGCATTTATGTTTTGACGCGGTAAGTGCACTTGTATCCCCCACATGTCCTTACCCTTACCCTTACCCCTCAACCCCTCACCCCTTTTGCTGCTCCGCTGGCCTCTTCCCCGTGTCCTTGCCCCCGTTCTGCGGGTGTGTGTGTGTATGTTGTTATTGTTGCCGTTGGATTATGGCCCAAGCGAATCGCCAATGGAGTGGGCGTGGCCTTTAGGCGCTGTTATTTTATGCATTCTGCGCACGGAGAGAAAAAATTATAGGGGAAATATTGATTATGGAATTTTAAAAATTTTGAAAACTGTTATAAACTGTACTAAAAATTAATAAATAATAAAAAAGAATACAAAAAAAATAATGATAAAAAAATAATTATAAAAAAAATAATATTAAAAATTATATTGCAAAATTAAAATAATATTAAAAATAATAAAAAATAATATAAAAATAAAAATAAATATATATAATATATGAAAAATAATATTACAAATAATAAAAACATGATAAAAAAAAATTTTATTAAAAATAATAATACTAGAAAAATAAATTTAAAAATATAAATAAATAAAAAATAATAATACTAAAAAATAAATTAAAAAATATAGATAAATAAAAAATAATAATTAATAAATATTTACTTTATTACTATTATATTTACAAAAATTATTACTAATTTTAAAAACTCAGCAAATATTTGATTCATAAATTTATAAAATTATTTACTTTATTATTATTGTATTTAAAAAATTATGAATAATTTTAAAATCTAAACAAATATTTTATGGATAAACATAAAAACTTTTTCTCAATTATAGCCACTAGGAAAATGATTTTCTTCTGCTTAAAAATATCCAAAATTTTCGCTGTTCATAATTTTATATATTTACCTCATTTAACACCCATTTTTTCGCTGTGCAACAAAAATTGGAATACGAAAATGAAGCCGGCGAATGAAGCAGGTACGCAGCGCATTAAACACGGCATTTAATTGTTGCCACCGCCGCTGCACTTTAAAATCATTTCCACACCGCCAACAACAATAACACCAACAATAACAATAACAGCAACATCAACAACAACAATAACAACAAACGTAACATGCACAGCAACAACAATAAGTGAAAACAATAAGAGTCATTTTATGTGCCAAATGCAAAAAGCGTTGCATTTGTTGTTGTTTTACAGATAAGCAAATTGTGAAAAAAACCAATGAAAATTACAACAACAACAGTTACAACAATGAAAATTACAACAACAAAAATTACAACAACAGTTTGTGTGTTTTTTATGTATTTTTGAGAAAATATGCAGCAGATACAAGTGCTCTGAACAAAAGTATGGGGAATATAAATACTCTATGGGTAAAGAAGGTCAAATTTAGGATATAGTAGAAGAAGAAAATCAATTAATAATATTTAAAAATAGGTAAAATAATAAAAAATTATACTAAAACCTAAATGAAATACAAATAATCATTATATAGTGATAAAATTAATAAATAAGTAAATCAGATAAGTCAATATACAAAATCAAAAATAAATAAATAAAATAATAAATGAATAAAATAATAAATAAACAAAATAATAAATAATTAAAATAATAAATGAATAAAATAATAAATAAATAAACAAAATAATAAATAATGAAAATATTAAATAATGAAAATATTAAACAATGAAAATAATAAATAAATAAACTAATAAATAACTAAAAATATTTATAACTAAAATTACTAATACTAATAAATAGACTTAATAAAAAATTCAAAATTAATTAAAAAACTCTTTAAATAATTAAAATATACTTAATACAAAAATTAAATAAAAATGTAAAAACTAAAAAAATATATATACCTAAAAATAATACTTAAAATAATAAATATACTTAATAAAAAATTCAAAATTAATTTAAAAACTTTAAATAATAAAAATATACTTAATAAGAAAATTAAATAAATATTTTAAGCAAAATTAAAAACATGGCAGCTTTTTAAAAACAATACATAAACTAAATAAATTACTTAAAACTTAAATAATAATAAATTAAAATAATAATTATTATGAGAATTATTAATGTTTATTATCATTTTAATTTTTAAATTTTTAATTAATTTTTTTAATTTGAAATTAGTTTTTCTTAAAAAAAAAATACATTTATAAATATTTTCTGTATGACTTAATAAATACTTTAGTTGTGTTATTTTATTATACTTAAAAAAAAGATTTATATATTTTTTAAATTTTAAATATATTCTTTCAATATTTAAAGGGCCTTTCTAATTAAACAAATTATTAACATATCACATTTCCTTTGTTGCTAAAGAAATGAGCACACTTACCTTGCCACTCTAACAGTTGACTGTAATTAAACACCAGGTTGATGTTTTTTTAATTTAAAATTTGTTTGCAGTTTTTTCATAGATATTTTTTTTATTTATATTTTTTATTCATAATTTTTTTTCTGTTAAAAATACAAGAAAATTAAACTATCAGCACTGCGGGCGCTTTTGAGAGACAAAACAAAATGTTAACAGTTAGTTTTTATTGTTCATCTTTTGGCTTTATGACTGTGCCGACATTTGTGCGCATTTTCGGAAAATGCCCTGCCCCAGGGAAATTCCAACCCCCCTCCCCCACAACCCCTCCTTTAGATAGCTTTCGGGCAATTTGCTATTTCAATTGGTGTTGCACTTGGCGAGCAGCATTTCGCATTGTCCACCAAAAATGGTTTGGCCTGATTTTCAAATGTGAATTGACTTCCAAAAAACAAAACAAAAAAAAAAAACATAGAGTCCTCGAAAGACAATAAACGCAAATGGCCAAAAATTTTCAGGAAACGCATGCGGTGCACCACAAACATATATCTCACGGCGTTGGCCATCACGGACATTGCCTACCTCACCTTCCAGCTGATCCTTTCCCTGCAGCACTACGACTATGTGAAGTACCATTGCGAGATCTACTGGCAGCTCTACGGGATCTTTGTTTGGCTCTGCGACAGTTCAGGTGAGTAGTTGTTGGGGAAATGTATAGAAAAAGGTATACAAATTAAAGTAAATTTTAACTAAAATTAAGAAGACTAACAAAAAGGAATATAGGTTTATTTAGAGGAAAAAGAAAAATATTAGAAAAATATAAATTTATTGAAAAGAAAAACTTAGGCAGGAATTATTTAGTTAATTTTTTTTTATTTTTTAGAAATCAAATGGAAACAACATTTGGCAGGGAAAGGAATATATATTTTTTTTTAAATAAAAATCTCAACTTAATTTATAAGCAAGATAAATTTTTAAATATTTATACATTTTATTAAATGTTCTAAACTTTTATTCTAAAGTTTTCTAAAATGTTCTAAAATTGTCTAAGGTTTTCTAAAATTTTCCAAGACTTCCTAGAATTTTCTAAGGTTTTCTAAAATTTTCCAACACTTCCTAGAATTTTCTAAAATTTTTTAAAATGTTCTAAACTTTTATTCTAAAGTTTTCTCAAATGTTCTAAAAATTTCTAAGGTTTTCTAAAATTTTCCAACATTTCCTAAAGTTTTATAAAATGTTCGAAACTTTTTTCTAAGGTTTTCTAAAATTTTCTGAATTGTTCTAAAATTTTCTAAATTTTTTAAAAAATATTCTAAACTATTTTTTTAAGTTTTCTACAGTTTTCTAAAGTTTTTTTTTTCAAAAGTTCTAACATTTTCTAAAATGTTCTATAATTTTCTTTAATTTTTACAGTTTTCCAAAATTTCTAAAATTTTCTAAAATTCTATATTTTGTAATTTTAGGTTTTTATTTTATCAAGAAAAAAATGACCTAAATAACAAATAATAAAAATTAAATAATTTACTTAGATTCTGTTTTCATAAATTCCATTTATAAGAACAAATACATTTAATCGGCAGAAAAAATCAATATCTGCTAATTTATTTACTATAAATAAACCCTTTAAAAATAATTCTAAAAATCCATTATTTGCCTTGAAATAAAAAATGGTTTTATGGGGGCAAAAGGCAGCCAGAAGAGTGGAAACTAGGAGGAGGGCAACATCAAGGGCAGTGGGCTGGGTGTGTGGATTCCATAAATTCCCCGGGTTACCCAGGCAAACCCCCTGAATTCCGGGATGGGCCCATCAATTGGAATTGCACCTGCGGCGACTGATGCTGCTGCTGCTGTTGCTGCTGCTGCTGTTGCTGCTGCTGCTGTTGCTGCTGCTGCTGTTGCTGCTGTGCATCAATTTCATTGAGCTCTGCCAATTTACGAGGTATAGTTAGCAGCGCTTTCTGTGAAAATGCCAGCGGTCAGCTGAGGCTCACTGCCATACGATACTCTAGTGCTAGCCCCCATTTTCCACTTCCACTTCCACTTCCACCACCCTCCTCTCTATTTTCCGGTTCTGTTTCCCCTTGATTTCATCCCGCTTTTCCGCAGCACCGCCGCGGCTCATCAGCGGAGCACACGGACGTCAATCGTTTAGAGTGCGCAGCGTTTTGAATAAATTGACAGCCCAGATGGGGGACCGAAGGGGGGAAGGGGATTAATAGAGCAGTTCGGGGGGGTTTTTTATAATCCCAGTGTGCACACATATAAAAAATAGATATATAAATCATTAAAAAGCATTATTTTTGAGTGGAAAAGGGATGTTGGATGTTTTGAACCAAAAAGGAAAGGGTTTTTCTTTACAAAAATGGTTAGAATATATTTTTTTAAGTTTAATTTATAAGAAGAAGTCTAAAAAAATTTAATCTTAAAAAAAAGAATAATACAATAAAAAATAATAAATGAAAATAATAATAAATAAAAAAAATAAAATTATTGCATTTCAAATTGAAAATGCTAAGATTTTCTTAGACATTTGGACTCGTTTTTTTTTATTTAATTTTAAATTAATATTTAAATTGATTTTTTAGTTAGAATAGTAATTTTTTTTAAGTTACAAGCTTAAAGAGTTTATAATTATATATAATTTATTTAGTTTTTTGTTTTAAAATATTTGAAAATATTTTTTTAGTTCCTTTTTTATTAAGTTACAAGTTTAAAGAGTTTATTTATTTGAATAATCATTTTTAATTGTATTTATTTTTTTTATTAAAATATTTTTTATATATAAAATATTATTAAGAACTTTTTATTTCCTATAAATTAAAATATTATTAAAATTTAAGAGGTTTCAAAATAGAAAAAATATATTTAATATTTCCCTCAAGCCAAAAGTTTTAAAAATTGAAATACAAAAAAATTTAAATTTAAATTTTTATATAATTTATTATAAAAATTAAAATTTTTGTAAAAGATTTTATTGAAATAGATTTGTTTATAATATAATATATTACATTTTGTTTTAACAATTATTTATTAGGTTTTATATTAAATAATATATAAATTCCTTCTTTATTAAATATTTTCATTTTAAAAAAATGTAAATATTAGTTGGAAATAAATTAAAAATTATATAAATATTTTAATTACTGCGATTCCATTTCTGTAACAAATTCAAAGACAATATTCTACATATTTTTCCAAGTGCAAAACCACTGATTGCACCTGGATTGCTTCACCTGCCTCTGCCTCTACCTGTGCCACCTCCCAGTTGTCTCAATTGCTTTTTCTCTGTTTCTCCGGACAGGTTACATCTCGATTTACATAGCCGTGTGCTTCACCATCGAGCGATTCATAGCGATACGCTATCCGCTCAAGAGACAAACATTCTGCACCGAGTCGCTGGCCAAGAAGGTGATAGCAGGTGAGTAGTGGGTGGATAGTGGGTGGCCCTCAAGGGGGATTTGCACACGCAACTGAGTAATGGAATTATTCACTGTCAATGCCTGACTGTGGGTGGAATGCCAATAAAAAAAGTAAAGAGGATATAAGAATATTTTAAGAAATAAATGATAGATAAAGTAAATATTAAAAATCTTTGATAATAAATAAAAAAACTTATATATCTGTTTAAGAAAACCTTTTAAATTTCAAATATATATATTTTTTTGTTAGCCGTGTCCCTGTTCTGTTTGCTCTCCACACTCTCAACGGCATTCGAGCACACAATTAAGGTCGACTGGAAGCTGATTGATGGCGCCTACCAGAACTGCAACCAAACGCTGGCCAATGTCTCGCCCATGCCCCCATCAACGTCCGTCACGCCGGCCCTGTCCACGCCCCCAATGGTTACGCCGCCGACCATTTGGAAGGAGAAGGAGCTGGAACAGAACTTCTTCACCCAGGAGTCGTCGACCGCCAAAAGCTCGAGACTGCTGTTCGACTTTGGCAGTGGCAGCGGTGATGGAGAACCAGGTGAGTTTTTCAAAGACCAAGCTAAAAAATCATAGCCTACTTTTGGGCAAAAAGTGTAAAGGAAATATTTGGAAAGAAATTTTAAAACGCTTCAGAGAATAAAATAATTTTTCTTTACTTTTAAAAGATTTTTTTTTATACAAATATATACAATTTCCATTACTTTAAATATTTAAAAAAATTAAATAAAATATTAAGTAAAATGTAGGATTTTTTTTAATTGAAAATTTACAATTTCCATCACTTTAAATATTTGTACAGTATAAAATAAAGTCTGTATTCTATTTTTTAAAATACAAAATAAAGTCTAGTAGTTTTTTTTATTTAAAAATATAAAATTTCCATCACTTTAAAATATTAAATATTTTTAAAGTATAAAATAAAATCTGTAGTAATTTTCTTATAGAGTTTAAAATGTTTTTATATAGAGTTAAAAACGATCTAGATTTTTGGTATACATAAATATAAAATTTCCATCACTTTAAAATATTAAATATTTTTAAAGTATAAAATAAAATCTGTAGTAATTTTCTTATAGAGTTTAAAATGTTTTTATATAGAGTTAAAAACGATCTAGATTTTTTGTATACATAAATATACAATTTCCATCACTTTAAATATTTAAAAAAAATATAATAAAATATAAAATAAAGTCTAATATTTTTTTTATTCAAAAATATAAAATTTCCTTCACTTTAAATATTTTTAAAATAAAAAATAAAGGTTGTTTCATTAACATATAATTTTTTATTAATATAAAAACCCAGAAAAAAACGTAAATTTTGACAGGATCACACAGAAAAAAATCAACAAAAAATATAAAATAATAATATTAAATATCAAATAACATGCCATTAAAATTTCTCCTAGTGTAACTGTCTGCAAACATGTTATTTTGGTTTATTTTTTCGTATCTCCCCAGTGAACATTCCACGTCTTCGCCGACACTGGCAGTCATCTGGATTTGTGACGCCGCCAACTCTGAGGAAAACGCTTCAGGACCAAGAACGAGAGCTGGAAAATGGGGGGAAAATTGGACAGAAACAGGAGCTGGTACAGGTCACCACCGAGAGTTTGCTACAGTTGTTACGTAGCAAACGGAGCACGGACCACCACAACATCACGGATGCATTCGCATTTAATGTAACGGAATACTGTCAAAATGTAAGACTGCAAATATTCTAGGGGGGAAATCCTTCAGAACTCCTTTGGGGTAGGGAGGATGAAAACATGAGCAATTCGCGGAGATATATTTGCAACGATAACTTTAACTCATATCTGGTGCTTTGAATTTCGCAAGAGGGGAAGAAGTTCAGAAATGTTTAGCGAATTAAATTAATCTGTGAGCTTTGTGTTAAGTTCTTTAATTTGAAAATATAGTTTTCATTTAATTTTTAATATTTTTGGAATATTTTACAGATGACTCTCTACAACCATGGTCCATCGGAACTTGGAATGAATGAACTATATGCTAATATCTGGAATGTATTCACCCTGCTGGTCTTTGTGGTGCTGCCTTTGCTTCTGCTGGTCACTTTTAATAGCTTTTTGATCCTTTTGGTTCATCGTTCGAAAAGCCTGCGAGGGGATTTGACAAATGCCAGCAGTATAAGGCGAACAAAAGTGAGTTTTGAAAATTAAATAGACCTAAAACTGGTAAAAATCGATTAAAAATCGATTAATTATGGGTTTTTGGGCTAGGGTTTTAGATTTTTAATCGACAAAAAATCGATATCGATATCCAAAATGATTGATATCATGATATTATGATTAAATTTATATATATTATAAATTAAAAAAAAAATTAAACAAAAAAAAATTTTTGGACTATAAAATTTGGGTAAAAAAATCGATAGTTAAAAATGTTGATCTCAGGAAATATTGATAGTATAAATTATTTGTGGTACAAAATCTAAATCAATTTTAAATTTAAAAATCGATAGTCAGATTTCAGAAAATCAGATTTCAGAAATTATCGATAGTAGATAGTAGTAGAGGAAAATAAAAAAATCATTTATAAATTTAAAAATTAAAATTAACCAATTAATTATTAAATAATTCCCATCCCCCTCTCCCTTCTCTCTCACAGCGCAAATCAAGCTCTGGCATTAAGGGCAGTGTCTCCCAGGAGAATCGCGTCACCATCACCCTAATTGCGGTGGTCCTCATGTTCATTGTTTGCCAACTCCCATGGGCCATTTACCTGATACTGAGCACCTATATGGAAATCCAGGTGGGCACCCAACTGGTGGCCGGAAATGTCTTCAATCTGCTGGCCGCCCTCAATGCGGCCTCAAATTTTTTCTTATATTGCGTTTTGTCGGACAAATATCGGAAGACGGTGAGGGAACTGATCACCGGGTATCGCTATAGGCGTCGGCATGCCAGAAACAATACGAGTCTCTATGTGCCGCACACGACCACCACGCTGAGCCACATCAATGGCCATGATCATGGTGGTAGTCATTACGGAGGAGCTGGAAGCCGTCGAAGTCGTAATAATAATAAATCCATGGCTACGGGTCGCCTGATAGCGTGATTTATGTGGATTTATATATATATATTTTCCAAAGGGAGAGAATGTGTGTGGAAAAAAGGTCACCAGAAACTAGGGAAACTAGGAAAATTCCAAGGAAAAACTTAAAAGGTGGCAACACAAAAAGGATAAGCCAGAAATAAAGGCGTGAAAGTGATTATTACTTTAAAGTAGAAAAGAAAATCAGCATGAAAATATTCTTAAAAATATTTAATATTTAAAATAAAGCTTGACTTTGGTCTGTAAAATATTTAATTTTAAAATACAAAAAAAAATCATCTTAAAAAGCTAACTTTTAAAGTAAAAACTATCAAGTTGTGACTTGACTTTAACTGTCAAAGCAAAAATTATCAAGTTAAGACTTGACTTTAACTGTAAAAGAAAAAATTATCAAGTTAAGGCTTGACTTTAACTGTCAAAGCAAAAATGATCACGTTCAATCTTGATTTTAACTGTCAAAGCAAAAATGATCAAGTTCAATCTTGACTTTAATTGTCAAAGCAAAAATTATCAAGTTAAGACTTGACTTTAACTGTCAAAGCAAAAATGATCACGTTCAATCTTGACTTTAACTGTCAAAGCAAAAATGATCAAGTTCAATCTTGACTTTAATTGTCAAAGCTAAAATTATCAAGTTGAGTCTTGTCTTTGTAAACCTTAATTTTCGTGTAAAACATTCTATAAAATATTTATATTCTCTTTAAAAAAACACCAAGTCAAGCTTTTGAAAGATTTCTTAAAGATATAAAAGCTGTTTTTCTTTTTCCACTGTATAAATCAATATCTTTATGTACATCTCTCTCCAAACACTATATATACATACATATAACATATTACAAAACATACATTGTGCCATAATGTGATGATTATAGATTTATGCTAGTTAACCTAAACGTAATTGTTGTCCTAAGTACTAAACGCATCAAATCAAATACACAATACACAATACACACACAAACAAACACACACACACATAAGGATGTTTGCTACTATTTGGCCAAGTCCCACGGGGCGTATGAATAACGCACTAAAGCATATTAATTTGGTTGGCATTTCCCTGAAGTGGGCACAGGGAGTGTATATATCGGTTAAATCCGGTTGAGAATATAGTCCAGTTCAGTTAGCAGTCCAGCGGGAGGGACATTGCTGAGAAACGGAACAAGAATAAAAAATATACAACAACAACAACGACAAAAAAATAAGGACACCAAAGGAGGAAACGAGGAAGGAATAACTATTGAAAGGCTTGTAAAACTACAAAGTACCCTCTGTTTTTTTTTGTATAAATTATATATATTTTTAGCATTTTGTAGAAATAATTTATAATAAATTATATTAAAAAGAAAATTTCATTAAATTATGTATTTAACAAATGAAATTATTTTTTGATTTGCGGTTGAAAAATGTAGATTCGATTTTATTTTACTAAAAAAAAAAAACGCAAAGCAGAGGCTGCTTATTTTTTAAATATAATTTATTTTTATTTTGTACATATTTTTTTTTTATATATTTTATTTTTTATATATTTTATTTTTTATATATTTTATTTTTTATATATTTTATTTTTTATATATATTTTATTTTTTATATATTTTATTTTTTATATATTTTATTTTTTATATATTTTATTTTGTATATATATTTTATTTTAATATATTTTTATATTTTCTTGTATTTTATTTTTTTACTATTTTTTTTTTATATTTAAATTTTTAATTTAAATTTTTGTTATCAGATAAATATATATATTTTCACTTATTTATATTATTCCCTTTATTTCCATTTCTTTATTTTAATATTTTAAATTATTAAATTAAATATTTATATTTTAAAATTTTTTTAAATATTTTTCCCACAAACTAACCCTCTTTCTTATACCCTAACTAGTACCTTAAAAATAGTAAAAAGTGCAAACAACTAAAAGGTAATTGACTTGAAAAGAAGGGAAATACTGGTATTCAGATTTAAGATAGCCACCGCCTGTTGTTCCGATAATTGAAGTGTTGACAATAGTCCTGGCCTCTATCTCTGGGCATCTGCAAATCCGATATCTCTGCAATCTCTCCATTCTCCAGTTGCCTGTGTGAATCCGGGGCTAACCGATACCTAATTGAATGCGAGCCAAGTCCCAAAACCAGGTCCACTGTTAGCCTTTTACCCTGTTATCCCCACCGTGTTTTCCCGGGGTTTTCCCCCAGCATCCACCCCCCCGCATCGCTCTGGTTTCCTGGCTAAAATGCAATCGAACAGCTGCAGCAATGGCCTGCGACTACAGAGATCCGACTAAGCCGATAATTGAAGGTGCCGGCGTGGCCAGTGGGGGGAAATCGGCAACGGAATCCTTGGACGTCCTACGTATCCTCTCTCTCTCTCTCCGCGGGTATAATTGGTTGGGAGCATTGAATTAGTGATGCATTCGATATGAGGCAGCGGTAATTACAATATATCGAATTAATCGATAGGCTTTTATATGATAAGTGAAATGTTTGATTTAAGAAAGAGATGCTTTTGAAAAAGCTTTCAATTAAATTATTAAATTTTTAGAAACAAGAAAATATAAACTGTATATACCCTTTGATAGTATCGATATCTCTGTCATCTCTAATTTAGACCAGAATTCCTACTTAATAATATTTTATATTGTTTTTCAATAAAAGCATAACCTTTAATTTAAATTAAATTTTAAAAATATTTCATAAAGAAAATATAAACAATATATATATATATATTTATCGATATACCCTTTACAGAGTATCGATTATCCCTGTCATCCCTAATTTAGACCAGAAGTCGGCCACCTATGCCGAATGCTAAAATACAAGTGAAAATCTTTTTTCAAATGCTGGCAATAAATTTGTTTTCAGCAAAACCCACATTTTTGGAGTATGGGAAAATGGTTGGAAAATGTCTATGTGTGTGTGTGTGGAAAAAGGGAAAGCCAGTAAACACACACACACATACACAGAGAGAGCTACCAGATACCGAAAGCCACACACAGTAACAAGCGTAATGGAGTAACAAACATTTGCGGTTTACTGCATTTTCTATTTTTCCCCACACAGTTAGAAAACGCAGGGGCCATAAACGCATTGGTGACTCTCATGGGCTAAGCCCTGGCATTCGTTGCTAAGAAATTGAGAACACTTTTTACCCAACTAACAAGCTCAACTGGCTAAAACTCGTTATTAAATGTGAGGTAAGTGGGCAAACATATATGGAAGATCAAAGATTAGGTGGAATATGTTCTGGAAAATGTTAAATTTGTATGTTTAAAATATATAAAAAATCAAATAAAATTATTTTTATTTATAGAAAAATTAAAATTTATGTTTAAAATATATTTCACTCTCTTGGAAGTGGAAAATTTTTAATATTTTATTTCTAGAAAAAGTTAAATAAATTGTTTAAAATATATATTATTGTTAAATATATTTTTATATATTTAAATATATTTTTAAAATATATCTTACTTTTTTTGGAAGTTAAAAAATTTCAATTTTTTATTTCTAAAAAATATTTAAATGTGTTTTTAAAATATTTACTACTCTTTTGGTAGTTTTTATTTCTGAAAAAATTTAAATATATATTTAAAATATATCCTACTCCTTTGGAAGTTAAAAAATTGTAATTTTTTATTTCTAGAAAAAGTTAAATAAATTTTAAAAATATATACTACTCTTTTGGGTTGAGATAAAATATTTTAAAAGTTAAATTAAGATTATTTTTAACTCGGATTTCTATCTAGGTAAATCTTTAACGTATAAATAAGACTTAAAATGTATTATAATCATTTTTATTATTAATATTTTAATAAAATATATATATTATTATTTATTAAAAATATTATTCAACAACTAAAAATGTTTTCTTTCTTAAAAAAAAATTGTTTTAAACAGTTAAGTTTCAAGTTTTATTTATAAACTCTTGGGAAATTCACTTCTACTCACTCCCTCTTCTATTTAATATATTTTTTTTAGCTCTGGATGAGCTTCTTTTATCGTATTATTCAGCCATCACCAAGGGAAGAATAGAAAGAAAACAAAAAAAAAAGAGAAAAAAACCATAGAAAATGGGGGAAATATTATGAAAGTGTAACAGCTGATTTCGCTGCCATTTTTACCATAGAGAGTGCATGAAAAATTACAAGTCAGCTACACAATTGAAATATTTCCGCCTCAACGCACTGAAATGCGCAATCGAAAATAGTTATCTGTGTGTGTGTGTGTGTGTGTGTGTGTGTGTGGCATCCTTTCCCTATCCTTGCGCCCCCTCCATTTTGGTATTTGCCCAGAAATATGCAACCAAAAAAGGGGGAGAGTGGGGGTAAACATGGCACAGGCAGACGACGGATGTGGCAGCGACAAGGACAACAACGTTGTGGACACATATGTGCATTATGTGCGGCACTGAACACTGAACACTGGCTAGTGGATACTGGAGATACTGGGGATACTGTATACCGATTCGGGTCCGAGAAATTTCCATATTTGATTGTTTTTGAATGCCGCTTGCCGCAGGACGACAAAAGCTAAAAAAAAGAATATACAAAACCAACAAACAAACTTGGTATAAAATATAAAAAAATATATATAAAATATATATAGATATATATATATAGCATATCTCGAAGAGCGTGGCCTGTTTATTGAAAATGGCATATAAAAATCGTATGGGCAGCTGCCTCTTTTTTCTGTGCGGAGATGTCCTCTCTCCGATTGTCGATTGACATTCTTTTGGGGACGCTCAGCGAAATGCATGCATTTATTTACAGATATGTAGGTGCTGCCTTTTTTGTCACCCTCTCTGAAAACCAATAAAAAAAATTACAAGAAAATGCCACCGAATTCAGGCAGAGAGAATGGTGATTGCCCTAGATTTAGGGGTTAAAAAGGATTTAGAATAAGAGAATAGCTTAAAAAATAATAAAAAAAATTTTATAAAAGCTGATTTTAATATAAAAAAATATTATTTTAAGATTGAATAATAATTGAGAATGTTTTTGTATATAAAAATATTGAAAATAATAAATAAATAAATTTAAGGCGCATTTTTATACGGAAAAATATATTTTTTAATTATTTAAAAATAATTCAGAATTTTAAACATTATTTTATTATATATAATATTAATTTAAATAATATAATTTAATATTAATATAAATTAAATAAATCAAATTATGAATTAGTAAATTTTTGGATATTTTTTTATTACAATTGTACGGTTAATTTTGGTTTCAGGTATAACAAAATATGAAAAATAATAAATAAATAAATTTAAAGGGTATTTTTACACAGAAAAATATTTTTATTTTAATATTGAATAATAGTTGAGAATGTCAAATATTATAAAAAAATGTATAAATTTTATTATATTTAATATAAATAAAAATAATAGTAATAAATATTAAAATGAAATGAATTGAAATTATTATTTTTAAAATTTATTTTATTATATTTCTAAATAAAATTAAAGTAATGAATTAGTTTATTTTTAGCTTTTTGTGTATTCAAATATTTTCAGATAATTTTTGTTTATGTTATATCAAGTTTATACACATAAAAGAATATTTGTATATACCTAAAATCAAGAATAATGGCCACAAAATTTATTTAAAAAACCAAGCAAAGTAAAACAACTCTAAAATTTAATTTTTTAATAAGAAAATTCCTTAACAAATGAACCTGTTAAACCCAGAATATCACTTGGTGCATATACCCTACAAAAAAACAAGTGTTTCAACTATGCAAAAACATTTGCAGTGGCACAAAACCGAAACGAAATCGGGCCTCAAAGAATCCAGAATCCAGAAAACAAAAGCAAAATAAACTGGCAACCAAAAAATAAAAAATACAACAACAAAAAATTAAGCACTCATGACAAAGCGAAAGTCGGATAATGCCATAACAACGACAACGACAACAACAATTGGAACAGCAGCAACAGAATAACATTATAAAGTATCATGGCAATTTTTTGTCGCAATGCAAAAAACAAAAACAAAAAAGTGCAACACAGCCAGGCGACAGTTGTACAAAAAAGTTGTTGCAAATAAAAACAATTTTCGGATTCAGATTCGGATTCATACAGTTAAAGGGAATACCAAAAATTAAACACCAAACAGGGAGATAAAGGAAAACAAGGCACAGAAAATGCAAGCATATTTCTCTTTCAATTTGCTTTAAAGTACAAATTAAATGATTTTAAACTATAATATATATTGTTTATATTAAAAATAAATTTATTTGTATTTTTTTAAGCT